CACGTGCGGCGCCCAAGAACCAAATTACTACGTGAATGATTAACTGGAAATGAAGCATGACCTAAAATATGTGACCTGTATGCAAATGTTCCTGAAAAATCAGCCAATAGCAAGCGCTTTAAATATGCCGAGTATATGCAAAATATACGTAGATCTACGCCGATGTTAATTGTGTGCACTGGTTTATTGCGTTACCGTATACGCTACGTATACGTCGATCTGCGTCAGTATTAACTCTGTGCAGTGGTTTATCACGTGTCCGTATATACTACGTATACGTAGGAATACATTAGACAGCATTGTTCTGCATTAGGTGTACGTTAATGTGCGCACTGTATACTTCCGGTCTGCGTAAATATACTGCTGTGTATATTTACGTATCAGTATGTTCCGAATGTGTGAATATACGTTGCGTATTCCCTGTACATACGTTGAATGTACGTGTGCGCCGACCAACGTATATCTACGAATATCGGGAATATACGCGTGCGAATACGCTAATGTACCCGCCGTATACCAACGATTTTGCCCAGTGTATTGATTTTGACCATGGAGCTTCATGTTTTGACTAAGTCAAACCAGCACATAACATGTGTGTGTGATTATTAATGCTGATAAATGTGTTGAAGTTTAAGTTCATGAAAAATGTTCACACATTCATGTATCTACCCTCTGTCGCCCTGGAACGTGCATTTGTAAACAAGCAAACATTTATTGGCAAAATATTTTAAGATTGATTGTATACGAGGGTAAATTTGTGTCAATCAAATAGTGTATTACAACCCGCGAACTTTATTTAAGAACAAAGTTTACAATCAGGTAACGAAGAACCTACAGATAATTATAATAAGTTGGATAGATTCAAATACAAATCTAAGTTTAAGTAACAAGCTTGAAACTTTGCGCAACAAATATAACAAATTGTCAAGTGATGAACCAAATGAAAACGTGGATTTACGTATTCGATTGAATTAGTTCCAATGAGTCTATGAAAAGATTGACTCAATCTTGATCTTTAAAAAATGGCGGTCATGCTCGATGAAAATCTTTCAATCTTGTGCAGTTTCTCGTGTTTGCGAGAAGCAAATCCAATACGTATCATTACTTCCCGTGAATGACGTGTGTATATTGGTCTAGGATCATGTTTTAATGAATCCGATTCTACTATTGCATACTCCGTGTGCGTTGGTTCTGGGATCACTGACCACGCATCTTCGTAAGGCTTATTTTAAATGACTTCCTTGTCGAATTATGCATATTAAACTACATGCAGCTCAAAAATATACAATTGTAAGCCAAAATGACAAGACGCGAATTAATGAAAATTTGTTCTGAATCACCATAAATTATGTTTACTGTACTATATATATATATATATATCGGATTTGGTAAACGAACGGGCGAGAAAATTAGTTCCAATGAGTGACTTTGGCCAGCAGGGTAGCACTTTATATGAAACTAGTTTCCTGAAAGTAAATCAATATCTACTGACACACAATGTGCGTTGCAGTGATCATATGATGCTAATATATAATACGAAGGTCGACAGTAAACGTATTTGCGGTTGTGTGAAAAGAAATTCAGCTTTCTCAGTAACATTGCTTAATAGGATGCATTGATTGATTAATTTTTTTTTTTGTAACAGCAGCTCGTTGTGATCACGCAGTTTGAAATTAATTGCCGCCACAGTACGTGGTCGTGTACAACCAGAGTTTTATCGATTTGCATCGGAATGTTTTCTGCATTGTAGTGTAATATAAATTACACATGGTGAGCGTGTATATGAAACCTACACCGTATTTATTGCATTCGGAACGCTAGAAGAATGCAGCCTGTGCTATCACAGGACCTGGCAATGAGACAACTGCGATTTGATGTGTATCACGCGGTCGAAACTACAACCAAAACAGCCGATCACTTTATAACAGCTGCATGTATTGATTGAATGGTCTGGCATTTAGTAAAAGACCATGTGGTATATGCCATAAACATTACATTCACACATTATTCTATGAAGTTTTGATGGAATACATCCAACATGGATTAGCATATTTAAGAAGCTGATGTGTGCTGATATAAACGCTTCACACTGATTATGATATAATTATCTACCATGCTCACATGTATGAAATATATCGACCCCCGCCCGCCGCAAATTAACCTCGAGTGGGAAGTAACGAATTGAAGAGCTTGCCGTTTTGCTAAGTAGGTGTTTTGTCTACTTGCCTCACGTTCCCCCACGCACTGGCTAATCTACAATTTACTTCATGAAATATTATAATACACTGATATATCAACATCCAGAGTCCTAGTGTCATCTATTATACATGTCACAATTGTTCTGAGTTGTCAATGCATTACAAGAAAGAGTTGATATTGAAATTTCTGTTCTGCCCGTCATTAGCGTCAGTCAACTAAAACTTGAACCTTGACATTATGCATCGTCCCCAGCGAATGTAAATTACTTGATTTCGTAACAATCTCGCGAACTACAGTAGAACATTAAATTGGGAGGAACGTTCTGCGAAGCTTTTTATGAGGTTTTAAATATGCATGTATACAATTAACAAATATTGGCCACCTTCCTCAGTCACATTTCATTTGTTGAATCCTTGCGGTATTCCTGTACCAAGGAGTAAGGCAATAATTTGTTACATTTTGGACCGCAGTGTGACGTGGGAACCCAGGCTACGCAAGGTAAACCATCCCTTTCATATAGTACGACTGTAACGTAGTTAACTGAAAAGTGGGTAGTCGATACAATAACGCAGCGGAAAAAAAACGTTAGTACAGGGACTTATGAAGCATCCACTTAATGAGATTATAACTGAACCTGTGTTCCACGAACCAAAATACGAAAAATAGCCGGCGAAAGAGCACTGAGTTATAAAAATTCAGCCTGTAAAGCCGTATTGTAAATATACGTAACATGGACAGTGTCCCCTCGTGGAATATTTTGGCGGAAATTCGTTAAAATCTTTTTTATCGATACAGAGATATTTTATGAGCGATTCATATCATCGCCATAATAGAACCAAATATTACATGCGAGGATTGTAGTGACTGTTGAATTAATTATGTCGTATACTATTGAGGGGTTTACAGTTGTGTATAAACCACTGCTTGCCTCGTAGCAAGACTGCTTATAATGTCCACACATGAATTTTTGATATATACATGTTCATTGCAACATGTACCAGTATCCAATATTCTTGACATGTACACGTGCAACAGCAAACCCCATAATTGCGCCTTGAGAACGAGTGGTATCATAGGTCGTGTGTACATAAGTGTGAGTTCTTGTATAACGCAAGATCCGACTTGTTACTCGTCAGACAAAACATTACAGTAGTCTGTATATACGTAATATATAGTAATATTTCATGTAAGGCAAACACACTGGTTAATTAAAAGTAATTGAGAAACATTACGTTACGAATGCTAACTTTAATTTCTCGCGGCGACAACCAATACAAATACAAATACTTAGTCGGTATCAATGTTTGTATCAAGCCAATTATGTTTATAATAAAAAAAAATCGATTTCAGCACTTTGGCAGTTTTCGTGGGTCATAGAAAATACTAACTACATTACACTTGGAACAATGAAACAAAAACGTTACGTCTCCAGTTTGGGGTAAATATTTGCAATTATACGAAGATTTTGTTTATCTTTAGGTTTTTGTGTGCATACACATTTCAGTGTGGTGATAAACACCTTCGAATGTCTGCCAAAACAAGCCTGTTACCACCGTATCCGCAATATAAATACATAAGGCGTCACTGACAGGTTCACACCAGGTTGAAAATAATTTGATTGTTATTGTTACGCGCTTATTATAGTTGATTTGCAATCAATTTGCACAGATTTAAAATTTTTAATTTAAATATTTCTTAAAAATGTAACATTGTAATTTTATAAAACTGAATTATTATCATATCATCATATTATTATCATATATTATCATATATGTCATTATCAGTACAACACTAGGCAATTTGGTCTCTCCTAATTATCTGACATTTGTATGACGTTTACTTTTGTATTTGTCGAATGAACAACTGGTAAAAAATTACTGATTTTTGGATCTCCACGTGTCCACAAATTGCGTGTGTGGCGCACGTTTGAATTAAAAAATAAACGCTAATCAAAAGAAATGAGGTACCTGCACGTTCTTGTTCGCTCTAGTGTCTACATGTACGATTTAAAGTATACCAATACGATGTCGATAACCGTTGGAAAAATGATACATTAAAAGGTAATTTGATAACACGGTGCAAACTATATGTACGTACAAATGTATAAAGTGTTTTGAACTATAGTAATATTCATTGAAATCTCGCTTAGATCGTTGTTTCCATGTTATAACCGACAGTAATACAGAGTTCTCATGACAACTCTGACAACAGCGTTTCGGAATTCCTTATCGTTGTAAACATATAAGAAGGGATTGACAATAGAGTTGGAGTATTGCAACCAATAAGCAATGCTCAGCAGAGTAGACGGCAGACATACTGACGTGCAAAAAGAATCCCAAATCATAGCGATTGTCAACGGCATGTTCGATAACAAAAAGAACCCCACCAACAGACCCAATACCTTCGCTGCTCGTCTGTCTCTGGACCGTTTAGAGCATACACGGGACTTCTCGTTATATTTAGGTGAAACTGTGGCCACGGCAAGCTTGTCAATTTCATTGTCAACACTTGTTTTAATATTGCCGACCGTATTATTCGATAAACGTTTGTCTACATCCATATTTATTAATAAAGTGTCCTTATTCACATAGTTGTTTGGGGATATGCTATCAAGGTTGTCGTCTATTACAAAGGCCAGATTATCACCACCGATGTGATTCAAAGTTGTATTGCTTGTATGGACATTTTCACTCCCATCCCGTGGGATGCTACTCTGCTTGCCAAGACTGTCATCGGGATGTATGCCTGTAATTTCCCGCAATCGTGTTTCTCCAGAAGAATTCGGGTTAGTACCAACTCCCCTCGCTGTCGTTGTTGGTCCACAGGTTTCACCCCTTCTAGAAAATTCAAACGTTTCCCCGTTTCCTCTTTCTGTATAGCTATATGTTTGTTGGGCCTTTGATTTCGAGCCCTCTTTTACTGCGATGTAGATTCTCAGATAGAGTAAGGATATTATCAAAAATGGCAATATACTGGTGAGTACCATGTTAGCAATAACATAAGGCATATTGTCCATCCATTCTTCAAAACACTCTGTACCGTAATCGATTATAGAGTAGCCTACCAATGTATCCCACAACACCATGGCTGGAACAGACACAATAAAGCCAAGAACCCAGGCTACAATGTTCATATTGCGAACAATTTTCGTTGACCTTCTATTTCGGTAGTATACGGCGTGGACAATACACAGATAACGATCCAAACATATGGCGCACATACAGTAGATAGATGAGTTATATACAAAATAGTCAATGGAAAGCCAAGCAATACAACACACTTTACCTAACTGCCAACCATACATGTCGAGCAAGCTGTCATAGGCGGCGAGTGGATGCACCAACAACCCGGCGGCCAAGTCTGAAATTGCTAGGCTGGCATAAAAATGGTTCGTGGGACGATGCCGCAATTTCTCGTGCGTTCCGAAGGCTACCAGGATGAGCAGGTTGGCCACGATCGTCACAATGATAAACAAACTGAACAACAGGCCTAACAGTACAAGCGTTAGTTTGGAAGAATTGTTTCCCTCCTCTTCATCGTACTCTGTTGAATTATCAAGTGTCGTTGATTGTTGATGGTACGCCCGTGTTGTTGATGCAAACAGCGTTGTTAGTAACTGCGTGGTTAAATTGAACGTAGTTGATGTATCGGTTGTATTGGTGGAATTGACCCTTATCGCTATCATCTCCGGAAGAATTTCTTGATTGCTGCACTTTATCTAGCAATATGCATCTACATATCGAGCGTGAATGTCCGGATCCCAAACACACAAAGGTGTTGCTGAAAGTGCCCTAAACATACGTGCGGCCGTGAGCACGGAGAGTCGTAGAGGTGTATGCACTCGACCGATAAATTGTAGTAGCACTTACGGTCGTTGTTGGTAGCACGCTATGCCCAGCTGATTGCCAGGGCAACAGATGGACGATGCATTATTAATTCTGCCATCTCTATGGTTACAGCCTCCAATGGCAGCTTTCAATATGCAACAATTGATCGTGTTCATATCGCCCGATCACTGGCTATGTATTGTATATTCGCAATCTCACACTACTATTAAAAGGTGATGCCATAACCCCATCGTAGCAATCGACGTGTACATTCATCACGTGGTTGTAAACGTCATGCGCCAATTATACATCGGCAGATCTCAAGTACTGATCAAATAATCTGTTCCCGTCATAGCGGTAGTTATAACGTTATATGTATCACTAATGTCGGGCTTAAATAACACGATTGATGCCTGACTCATGACCGTGATAAGACTATCGGTTTAACATCAGTAATAAATGTGCAATCAATAACGAAAGCGTAATATATAACCAAGACGTGGGCGACATAGTCTATGTGAAACATATCGCCATATATACAAATACGAAATATAATATCCTGCTATTTAAAAAAACAGAAATCGTGACTTGGTAAAGAACGTGTACATTAGTTCCGCATTGAGATGTGCAAATGGTTTGCAGCGCACGTGTGCATATTGCTATGTGTTCTTACGTCCTTGCACACTTGTTAATACTATTTTTTTTTTAAAAACACAGTAAAGTCGATAGAGACTTCATTAATTCACGGAAACACGTCTCAATTGCGTACATGCTAATTAATGTATGGAAGTATGTGTTCCTAATCAATCACACAGTTAATTCGTATATTTTATCTTGGTATCATGTTTTCCGTGTCAATGAGCAAAACGTATTATTTGATATTGTATCATGCATGTCATACGCCCTCACAGCTAAAGGGCAAAGTTTATTATTTATGCGTGTGATGTTTCCTGATGCATATCTTTAATATTTGTTACATATTTAATCCGCTCATAGTGATGTATTCATATGTATTGTTGTGCATGTTAAGTTTGCAGTCGCTTAAACCGTCGCACATATAAAAGAACGTCGTAAATACAGCATTCGACTGGATAACCGACATCGTGTTACATTCCCGATTCATATATTTTTCTTGTTCAAGTTTCATGAACCACATGTCTTACATTTTAGGTCGTTATAGTAGTCGCTTGAGTTGAGTTATCAGTTATGAATTGATTCGTAAAATGAATAAAATGAGCACTTACCTTGAATGATTGAAATATACCATCAATTATATACAATAACCGCACGTCAATGACGTTGACAGTCTAAGAAATATCATTGCCAGTTCCGCTTTCAATTAACCCGACAGAATATACCTATAATATTCAATGGGCAACTACCCAACATCAACCTCTGTTCTTAACTGAAACCTGTATTTGACACCACGTAAAGCTTAACGATCGCATGTGTCTGGGAATATAAACTAAAAAAGGGATGGAAAAAACTCACTGGTATATTCATGTCTTTTTCATACAAGACGCTGTTAATTTTACGTATAAACCGTGAGGAAATAGACTCAACGCCCTCGCGCAACGTGAAATCAGAGATTGTGGAGAACTGCATTCGCACTCCTTATAGTACAGTAGCTACATGTAATGAATGGCGCCAAATAAAATATGTCTTCTTTCCTTTATCTGCTTCCCGTTTCGCCTGGATTGGCCCGCTATTAATTAAATAAATGATCGTTTTTTTAATCAAATAACTGTAACGGAAGAGTTATCACACATCGCAATTAAACTGTCATTACATGAAGAGAACGTGTATTTGCATAACCGTAATTTACTTGAGTTATGGTCTGATGACATTTACGGAAAATATAAAATAATGGATATACTGTTCAACAAAATATATGTATACTAATAGTCTTCATTATATACAAAGGGAAGTTGCCCAAATTTATAATTCAAACGTCCTCAAATGTAAACAAGTACAACCAAATAATCGAGTATAATCATTGTGTGTGAAGTACTCAATTGCGTCTTCTTTATTTGCATATTTTATTCATTAATGTTTGCGCCATCTTTAACGACCGTTAATTAAGTGGGCCGTGAAATGACTATTGTTATCCTTTTATTTATCAGACGTTCTCATCAAATGATACATGCATCGTTATAAATAGTCACCGTGATAATAAAACGCCATTGACAGCCAGAATGTCTATTACAAACATATTTGCACAATTAGAATACATATATATATATATATATAGTTCTACGGCGTTCTGTACACTGTATGCTATAACACAGATCTGATTCAATGGACTGCACACCTTATAAAAGAATTGAATATGACACATCTGTGCTTGGTAAAAGTTCGTATGTGTCAATTAAGATGTGATGATTTGAATGCCATGTATTCACATTTTGATCAAAGCATACAACTTGTACATCATCCAAACAGAACACGAAGATGCAATTTGCGATTAAAACATCCGTTGAGATAATGTTTGCTGTGTTTGTACTAAAAAAATACTTTGATATTACCTCGCTAACAAAGTGATATACTCATGCACAAAAATGTTTTTTTTAAATAATTAAATAATGAGCACACATAAATAACATTGATTATATTGATTTGAACTATGCATAATCAAAATGTGTGAAATCTATTGATAATTCAGTATAAAACAAGTCAAATTCTAGACGTTCGAAAATGACGACAATCGACGATCTTGAATGCAACATAATCACTTAGCTGAAATGTACGTTATCTTGAGTCACGTGCAACTTCAGAAGACATGTATGACATATGACGATGTGCGATGACATTTTCTTAGGACATTTCAGGACAATCTTGAATATATCCCCTTAGCACCAAATGCCCGCAAATCACTGGTAATTTAATTTTTGACGACTTTTGACATTGTAATTCAGGTTGTTTTTGACGAAAGTGGGGCTTTACAAAAATATAACATGTGAATACCAGACACCACACTGTTGTGTGTTGTTTGAGTTTAATGTGACATTATGTTGATTTCTTTGCATTTGATATATGGCACACGTATACGTGTCTGATAAGAATATATTGTATTCCTGGTATAATTTCGCATATTCACGTGTTGTGGACAGTTTTATTTGTTGTAACCATTCCACTGTAAATTAATTATTCATATGATCATATATAATTGTGCTGTTATTTACTGGATTGCGGGAAGCCTACAGACGACAATTTTCAAATATAGTCTTTGAATGTTTTAGGGTTGTATGCGCGGAAATGCACTGCGCATACGTTCTGCGCATTTGAAGCAGACTTTCAAGATGGCTGCCACAACAAACAAGTACGCTTCGCGATCGCTGAATGCACGCAAATTTAAAGGATTTTTGACCGAGAAAGAGAAGAGAAGAAGATTGGCAGATATCCAGGCGAACCGCCAACATAAGAAAGTTGCTGAAGTAGTTTTAGAATCAAATTCAGGTACGTACGTACGGTGTCAGTATACGACGTAAACTTTGGTTGAGTCGTCTGCAACTGTTATCCACAACTTGAATCAATATATTTTCACATTTTATTTGTTTTTATGAACATCGGATTATGCTTATTTTGGTGGGAAACAGTGTTTATTTTTTCCTAATTCCTGTTTCACTAAATACAGAGATTGTGATAAAAAAAATATTTGACAACGAAGTTTGTCTGTCGCGTCGTCTGCAGCTTTCATTAATTATGACGAGGTGCCTTCCAAGCGAACTGGTAATTTTAACTATACGCACAAAACCCCCAATTTGAGGGCATGATTGTCATCACACTTCCATATAACCAAAGGGATACAATTTTAACTATGAATAAACAGCATGTTCAAATATTTTCTATATTTTGCTGTTTTGAAATCCATATTTATTTTCCTAGTGTTTTAAATTTAGAGCATGAAATTTCATCTG